CTCAGATGGGTGGCATATAAATACTAATTATTATATTATATTATATTATATTATATTATATTATATTATATTATATTATATTATTATATTATATTATATTATATTATATTATATTATATTATATTATATTATATTATTATATTATATTATATTATATTATATTATATTATATTATATTATATTATATTATATTATATTATTATTTCTGGCAACCCATAGTAAGTTAAGCCAGCACAAAGGGTGGTATAACTCAAAAACTGTTTTAAATGCTTGTTTTCCCTGGCTCAGTCTGCAGCAGCCCCACTGCTTAACAGAGCTTGGATCTGGTGTGATGTTATTTTTGCTTAACTTACACTGGTTTGTTTTTTTGCCAGCTTCTTCTGTATGGGGTTGTTCCCTTAGAGATGCTCTTTAAAACCCATTGAAATCAAGGGGACTTTAGGTTATGATTGACGTATTGATTGATAATACTTATTTAGAACTTAATATACAAGCCTGACGATGGAATGGACTGTCCTCAGAAGTGGTGAACTCTCCTTCCTGGAGGTTTTTAAGCAGAAGGTGGATGGCCATCTGTCATCATCATCACGCCAACCACCATCATCATTGTTATTATTATTTATACCCCAACCCCATCTGACTGGATGTTTCATGTATGATCTAGGTTGAGCATTCCTGCATTGGCAGGAAGTTGGACTAAGTGACTCTTGTGGTCCTTTCCAACTCTACCATTTTACATGTTTCTTTGCAAGCTGGTTTTCCAACGAATATTTGTGACCATTTTTCATGCATCCTAGTTCTGAGGACCATCTTACTTAGTCCTCTATTGCCTGAATAGTTGTTCAAAACCTGAATCCCAGAAGTCCGCCTTCATTGCAAGCACGCATGTTCTTTTGCAATAGCTTGGCAAAGTCAAGAGCCAAAAGGGAGGCACTCTTTGAATAAGCATCGTTAGGATGAAAACTTCCATTGACCAGCAGGAATTTCGCGTGGGGCAGGTCCTCAAGCTACCCCTTCAGAGGGAAACCTAAGCTTGGCGCTTTACTTCAGGTGCTGATTTCCAGTGTTGTGTTCCAGCTTGGGCCTATAGAGTAGAATGTCCATCCCTTCAAAAAGTAATTCCTCTTTTGGGCCCGCCCCTTCTGGGGAATCTTTCCCCCACCCCACAGCCAGTAGTATTCGTAGGCTCTGTGGAAATAATTTGTCAAGTACAGACCTTCTCTTTCGACAGAGAGTTGATAACAGTCCAAACTTCCAGCTGACTTTGTGTAAGACAGGCAAACCCGCTTAAAACAGACATTCATTCTCCTTTTGATTCGTTGGCTCTTTAGATTCCCCACTTATCCTCTTCACTTTAAGGTGGCACATCCACTGTTGTGCTAGGATGACAAGACAAGGTGCATGTCATTTATTTAAACTTATAGCCTTTTATCACACCGAAAGCAAGGGCTCTGGACCTGTTCGGATTTTGTATTTCAATTAGAAGACACTTCAGGTCATTGCTCCTAGATTTAACTGATAGTTACAAGTCATTTTAGCCAATCTTCCAAAGTTCCTTTGTTATCTCCACAGCATTCCCCCACCCCCAGGCGGAAAAAAAAGAGAAAACATTTATATACTAGGAGTACATTTAAGAGCACAGCGATACAATCATCTACTACTAATTATACTTGTCAGAAATGGTTAAATATTATTTTATAATCCTTATGGGTTTGGTCCCTCTCCCTAGATTACTACCAGATGATAACATGACTTCATGTACGTGTTCTAGCAAATGCCTAATTCAGTCAAGAAAGATTAAATGAATTTGGAAATATCACCCCCATGGCAGCAAACAGGATCCATGAGTGATTGAGACCCTATTCATTTGGCATTATTATTCACCATAGTAACCTTCTCAAACCCTTTGGTGAATTAGGGACTCTCCCTGCATTTTTGAAAGACACGCTTAGGCAGACTGAAGCAAATGAGCGCAGTAGTTGAGTCCAATGGTCAAGAAGTGTGGTTTCTACATGTGGCTGTTAGAGGGGAAGTGGGCAGATGCGTAGCGCCATCTTGGAGAAGGGAAAAACTACTGACTTATATTACCTCCACTGCCTGTGGGCTATCTTAAGGAGAAGAAAAGAGCCAAGGCGTAAACCTTACACACAAATCTGGAGTGGAGTCTCTAGACCAGTTGGATAGGCACTTTGTAGCCTCCTTTCTGGGCAACTCCTGCCAGCGAAGAGCTGGATGCCAAAACACATTTCGCTCTGTTTTCCTTTGGACCACATCAGAGCAAGCAAACGAGTGAGGGGTCTAGTTGCATGGACAACTCAGGACTGCCTTAAACACTCTGTCCCAGGCTTGAGCCCTTGATGAGGTCACTTTGGTGCTGCTAATGCAGCAGTTTACAACTCCACACACAGAGGTGTACTCCACTGTCTCTCGGGCAGATGGATGCCAACAAGTAACACTCAGACTGTGCATTTAGAAGTTCCCAATATCTTTTTCCATGTTTCACAGAACAATTCTTACTAAACAAAATAATACAACAGTACTAATAGCCTCTAGAGGCTTGGCATGGAACAGCCACAACAATTATTTACTGTTAAGTGCAAGATTCCTGCTGCATGTCACCCTTATTAAATGTTAAAGTTCACTCATTGTGCAAAAATGCACAGTAAACATTCCAAAGGTTCATGGCAGATCAAGAGGAAAGCAATTTCCCCGGGTGGGGGCAATGTTTAAACTTTTGGAACTATCTGATCTGGAAAAGGTTATCAAGCGGTCCTGAATCATCATTTCAGGGATGGCTCTAGATTAGGGGTGGGCAAGTTTGTCATTTTTTGTTTCTCCCCATTTCTCATTTTTTCCAATCTTAAGTCCTGTTTTCCTACATTTGCAGAGCAGTTTGCAATTTTTTAAAACTCCTCCTGAAAATTCATCCACATAATTGTGTGAATTTCCCCCCTAATAGACACATTTTCGTATGCAATTTCTCCTAATGTACACATTTTTGGAAACCGAATTCTTCTAATATAATGCAATTTTGTGTTATTTTTTTCCATGAATATATGCATTTTTATGCACGCTTTCCCCCAATATATGCATTTTTGCCTACAGCCACAGAACCATTCTCAATCCAGGCATATGCTGCCATCAATATGGAAAGGAAAACCCCACACTCACTCTCCAATAGGAACCATGAACTAAACATGCAAGAGTAAGGAACAGCCAAAGCAGTACTCATTTCCTTAGAAGAGGGGTGCATAGTCAGAATTGTTGCTGCTGCCAGCCATGGAGTTTTCTAACTGCAAGGAACCTATTAACAAGCAATCTATGCCCACATTCACATCATGCATTTAAAGTGCTATGGTCCCACTTGAAACAGTTATGGCTTCCCCCAAAGAACTGTGGGAGCCAGTGGCATAGCATAGGTTACTAGAGCCCGGGGCAAGGTGCAAAAGGGGTGAGAGGGTATGGCTCACTTGCAGCACGCCACAGGAAGCTCCACCAGTTTGGCCTAGGAGCCAAGGCACTCTGAGAGGAGATATGACAGCCATCTTCAAATATCTAAAAGGTTGCCACATGGAAGATGGAGAAAGCTTGTTTTCTCCTGCTCCAGAGGGTAGGACTCAGACCAATGGATTCAAGTTACAGGAAATGTAACGAAGCATCAGGAAGAACTTTCTGACACTAAGAGCTGGGTCTTAGTTGAAGAGCGATTCCAACAGGTATAATAATATACAGTGGTACCTTGGTTCTCAAACGGCTTGGTATTCAAACAACTTGGAACCCAAACACTGCAAACCCGGAAGTAATTGTTCCAGTTTGTGAATTCTTTTGGAAGCTGAATGTGCTCCATTTTTAGTGTTATGCCCCAATTTGAGTGCTACACTTCCGTTTAGAGTGTTATGCTGAGGTCTGTCTGTTTTTGCTATTTATTTTGTGTTTTTGTTTTTGCGGCTCTTTTTTGTTTTTGTGACTGTGTGGAACCCAGTTCAACTACTGATCGATTGATTGTGTGACTGCAGTACATTGTTTATTGCTTTCATTTTATGGATCGATGATCTCATTAGATAGTAAAATTCATGTTAAATTGCTGTTTTAGGGGTTGTTTTTAAAAGTCTGGAACGGATTAATCCATTTTGTATTACTTTCTATGGGAAAGCGCACCTTGGTTTTGGAACGCTTTGGAACAGATTTTCGGAACAGATTAAGTTTGAGAACCAAGGTACCACTGTAATTCTGTATCTGGCTTCCTGTGTGATAAATACGATATCAACATAAAATCTACTTAAGAGATAGATAAGGCCCGCAAGAATTTGGAAAAATTGAAGCTATTGATGCTGAAGGTCTATGATGTAAACTTAAAGCAATAGCTCAAAGACTTCAAAAGTCTACGCTTCACAATGAATACTTCTCTTCATACTACAGCAAAAACTCATGGATAATGTGCCTAATGTTCTTATTGCTCTAAGGATTCCTCTCACACTTCCAGTGTTGGTGGCAAGTGGGGAACGCAGTTTCTCAAAGCTCAAGCTTATAAAAACTTACGCTTTTTGCAGGGCTAGCACTGGCTACACATCCTATTAAAGGGGCTTATATTCCCGGGCACAGGCCAGCAGGCTCCCTCATCCATTTTTAAGTGGGGAAACACTCCAGACAATTGCACCCTCCACGTGGAGTCAGATGTGGTGCAGTCCATGGCAGGGGCTCTACCACTTCCTTTTGCTGCACGGTGCAACAGATCCAGCCACGGAAAACAAGAGATCTCCCCACATCCCAAACCCCCGTGGCTTTCTTAGAAAAGAGTGAGGGGCGGATCTGAATGGTCGACTTTCACCAGCCCTCTTCCCCATTCATCCCTGCCAGAGAGGCGCCCCTGGAGGCTATAAAAGGCAACGGAGGCGCCTTGGCCGGACGCCGCTTGCTAATTTGGGGCTCTCGCCCACCGCCTCCCTCCGCCCCATCGCTTTGGGCCAGCCAATCGCGAGGCGGCAGCTGCTATAAAGGGTCGCGGCTGCCCCACTGCCTCTCGCTTTTCGCTGCTCGTTTAGGTTAGGCGTGCTGTGTGTTCCCCGGAGGGGACGAGAGAGGGATCATTCCTGTCCCCAGAGCCGCGGAGAGAGAGGGATGCTGCGGGTCCGGTGCTTGCGAGGAGGGAGCCGGGGGGCCGAAGCCGTGCATTACATCGGGTCCAGGGTAGGTGCGGAGACCCCGGTGCGCGCGATCTTAAACCCAGAATGATCTGGGCGCTCGGATGGCTCGGTCTGGGCAAGGGATGGAAAGAACAGTCCGCCAAGAATCGAAGCCGTGCGCTCTATTTATATAGGTGCAACTTTAACAAAAGTATATTTTTTTCTTTAAAAACAACCCCGTCTCACTTTGCGCCCTGAAAACGTGCTAGAATTTGCAATGAAATGTTTCTCTCACTTGGGACGGTGTTAAGAAATTAACATTCGACTACTTTCTAGGCAAGCCAAGCCCCTAAACAGTATTTTAAACCAGAACTTCATTTGGGAGGAAGAAGGACATGATTGGGGGGAAAGTGAATCTGTGCATGTGCAGAGTGCATTCCTCTCGCCGCTGGACGCTGCTTGCTCATCAGAGCAGGACTTACGGAGTAAGAGCGTGACTTTGCTGAGGCTTGGAGACGCTCTTATCTTCTCCTTTTCGGAAAGGGGCCGGGCTATGATTAACAGCTTCTCTTAATTCTTCTTTCTAGGGACTGGAAGGAGTGTGCGTGTCTTGAGAGAAAAGTGGAATCTGGCAAAAAGTCAGGACTGAATGTTTGGAATTTCCAACGCAAGCACATTCTTGCTTTTGAAATTTGCATTGGAGAGCTACCCTTGCTGAATATGAATTTAAAAGACCATATATTTAACTTTCGGGTTTAAATGCCTTAAAAAACCCCAAGGCAATGCTTCCATTTTTATAGAACTATTTCCATAACTCAACTTCTCCAATATTCCATAATTTGGGTGTGTGTGTGAATGGTTTAAATTAAAATATTGCTTACAAGTTTGGGAAGCAAATCCAAATTCACTTGAAACTCTTCCCCTCCCCCGTCCCATTGTCCAAATTGCTTCCAGCTATTAATTTACTCATCTCTGGCCCTTTGTAGGGTATAATATATATATATATATTAACCTGATGCTTATGTGTGCATAAAAGAAAAAAACAGCTTGTGAAGATTGCCTAATTTCTTCTTCTTGAACTGATGATCACATTGCACTAACCTTAACCAAGCCAGTCTCTGCTCGCACTGCAATCCTTGCAATAATCATAATTGCAAGAGTTGGAGCTTCGTATTCTGTGGAGTTGTGTATGTCCGGATTGCATATGCAGGGCAGGTGAGAGAGACAGAGGGGCTGCAGGTGTGTTTTAAAGCAGCTGATTGGGCATGGGGTTCGGTACCAGCTGAACAGCATCATGTATGCTACTTTTACAAAATAATGCATACCTTTTGTGTGCATATATGTACCATTTCACAATGTCAGGGACTGTAAGCTTTAAAAATGGTCAAAGTGGCAGAAGGGGGTGGTCCTCCTCATACAGGCTTAGTTATAGGCTTCCTGGCTGCATCTGAGGAATTAATACTTTTTGTGGTTGGTTGGTTGGTTGGATGGATGGATGGATGGATGATTCCAGTATGAAAGTGTGACCATGTGCTGTATCTAAATACACAAATTTGTGGCAAGAGCATTCCCATTACCATGCATGCAGGAGGTGAGAGGGGAAAATGTGTACAGTGGTACCTCGGGTTAAGTACTTAATTCGTACCGGAGGTCAGTTCTTAACCTGAAACTGTGCTTAACCTGAAGCACCACTTTAGCTAATGGGGCCTCCTGCTGCCCCCACGCCGCTGGAGCCCGATTTCTGTTCTTATCCTGAAGCAAAGTTTTTAACCTGAAGCACTATTTCTGGGTTAGTGGAGTGTGTAACCTGAAGTGTATGTAACCTGAGGTACCACTGTACTGATAAATTGGGGAGAAAACTTACCTTTCTCTGGATTGCTAGGTTTCTCACACAATTACTGCAAACAAGCGTCTTGCATATCCTTAACCAAAGCAACATAATCCCGGTATTATCAACCCAGCAGCGGACCCTGGGGTCTTAAACTTCAGTGGCAAAATTCAGCGCCCCCCCATTCTACATCATAGTTGTGGCGCCCCCCAAGTCCCCATGCCTGGTGCAATCGAACTGCTCGCGCTCCCCTAAATCGGTGTCTGATCAACCCCTTTCCATACTGCTTCCTCGTGGCAAAACCTGCATTGCTAAACAGTAATTTGCTAACAGTAATTTGCTATGGAAGTGAGAGCTGGACCATAAAGAAGGCTGATCGCCGAAGAATTGATGCTTTTGAATTATGGTGCTGGAGGAGACTCTTGAGAGTCCCATGGACTGCAAGAAGATCAAACGCATCCATTCTTAAGGAAATCAGCCCTGAGTGCTCACTGGAAGGACAGATCGTGAAGCTGAGGCTCCAGTACTTTGGCCACCACATGAGAAGAGAAGACTCCCTGGAGAAGACACTGATGCTGGGAAAGATGGAGGGCACAAGGAGAAGGGGGCGACAGAGGACGAGATGGTTGGATAGTGTTTTCGAGGTTACCAGCATGAGTTTGACCAAACTGCGGGAGGTAGTGGAGGACAGAGGTGCCTGGCGTGCTCTGGTCCATGGGGTCACGAAGAGTCGGACACGACTAAACGACTAAACAACAACAACAATTTGCTAATTAAGTGTGTGTGTTGTTGGACCCTAGAAAGCAAACCTTTAATTCAGCGGTGGTGGTCTGTCTTGATTGAAATATGAAGGAAGGAGGTTTAAACTATCGAATGGAGCTGTGACATGGTGGGTGTGACACAGAGGGTGCTGAAATGGAGAGGGAAAGGTTGGGAAGCCACCCTGAATATATATAATATACAGTAAAGGTTCCTTTCCTCCTGGCTGCAACTCAGTGATACAGAATCTGCTTTGCACACGTATTCACCTCCTAGTATCTCCAGGTAGAGCTGGGAGAGAATCTTGTTTGAAACCCTCGACTGGCTACTGCCAATCAACATAGACAATGCTGAGCGAGGCGGACCCATGGCCTGACAGCTTCCTGTGTTCCTCTGTTGCTTCCTAGGCCCCTGTCTTGTCATGTAGAATCATAGAATTGTAGAGCTGGTAAAGGTAAAGGGACCCCTGACCATTAGGTCCAGCCGTGACCGACTCTGGGGTTGCGGCGCTCATCTCGCTTTATTGGCCGAGGGAGCCGGCGTACAGCATCCGGGTCATGTGGCCAGCATGACTAAGCCACTTCTGGTGAACCAGAGCAGCGCACGGAAATGCCATTTACCTTCCTGCCGGAGTGGTACCTATTTATCTACTTGCACTTTGACGTGCTTTCGAACTGCTAGGTTGGCAGGAGCAGGGACTGAGCAACAGGAGCTCACCCCGTCGTGGGGATTCGAACCGCCGACCTTCTGATCGGCAAGTCCTAGGCTCTGTGGAAGCCTCGCTGGAAGCGACCTCAAATGTCATCTAGTCCAACCCCCTGCAGAGCAGGAATCTCAACTAGAACATACATGGCAGGTGGCCATCTTGGTAAAGCTGCTTTGGGCACAGTTAGTGGAAAGGCAGGTATGGATCTTTTCAAATAAGCAAAGCAATGATGGGTGTTATTTTGTAAATCCGATTTGACTAAGAATGCCCAGTAGGTACGTGATGTGAACACGCTCAACTGTCTCCTTCTGCGCTTTTGTGTGTGCAGTGGTACCTTCGGTTCCTGAACGGCTTAGTTGTCAAACAACTCAGCTCCTGAACACCACAAACCCAGAAGTAAGTGTTCCTGTTTGCGAACGTTATTTGGAAGCCCAACGTTTTTTGGAAGCCCAGCGTCCAACACGGCTTCTGATTGAGTGCAGGAAGCTCCTGCAGCCAATTGGAAGCCGCGCCTTGGTTTTCGAACGGTTTCCGGAGTCGAACGGACTCCCAGAACGGATTAAGTTCAAGAACCAAGGTACCACTGTAATCTGTTGTGAGCGAGTTAACAAAGAAGGTGCTGCCTTGTCAACAGGACTTAACTTCAAGTCCTGGGATGTGCACTTTAGCATTGTGGACTATCAGGTAAGAAGTTAGCCTCCAACACGCCTTGTCTTACCAGGGAGGTGTCAAAGTTCAAGGTGCGCCATTCTTCTCAGATTGACACACAGCAGTTGTGTTGACAGCTGTAAGAGATTCCTTCCTCTCCTGCCCCAGACTGTCCATGTCTGCTAGTTGTGAAGTTGGCTATGTATTTCCTGCGGTAAGCAGAGGCGATATGCATCTGAATACCACTTGCTGGAACATACATTTAGGGAGGCTGCTGTTGCGCTCCTGTCCTGCTGCCTTATACAGTGGTACCTCAGGTTAAGTACTTAATTCGTTCCGGAGGTCCGTTCTTAACCTGAAACTGTTCTTAACCTGAAGCACCACTTTAGCTAATGGGGCCTCCCGCTGCCGCCGCGCCGCCGGAGCAGGATTTCTGTTCTCGTCCTGAAGCAAAGTTCTTAACCCGAGGTACTATTTCTGGGTTAGCAGAGTCTGTAACCTGAAGCATCTGTAACCTGAAGTGTATGTAACCTGAGGTACCACTGTACTGAGCTGCCTTATACAGTGGTAGCTCGGGTTAAGAACTTAATTTGTTCTGGAGGTCCATTCTTAACTAGCAACAGCCTTCCAGCATTCCAGACTGGCTTGTCTCCCAGCCCCACCTGGAGATGCTCAGGAATGAACCTGGAATCTTCTGCATGCAAGGGAGATGCTACTTGCACTGGGCTGCAGCCCCTCCTAAAAAGCCCAGTCAAAGGCGACTCTGGGGTTGCGGCACTCATCTTGCTTTCAGGCTGAGGGAGCCGGCATTTGTCCACAGACAGCTTTCCGGGTCATGTGGCCAGCAGGACTAAACCACTTCTGGTGCAACGGAACACCTTGACAGAAACCAGAGCGCATGGAAACACCATTTACCTTCCCGCAGCAGTGGTACCTATTTATCTACTTGCACTGGCGTGCTTTCGAACTGCTAGGTTGGCAGGAGCTGGGACAGAGCAACGGGAGCTCACCCCATCACGGGGATTCGAACCGCCAACCTTCTGCTCGGCAAGCCCAAGAGGTTCAGTGGTTTAGACCACAGCGCCACCTGCATTCCCTCCTAACGCCTGGCTGGCTGCAGAAT